GTCATATTGCTGTTCTTTTCTCTCTCTCAAAGTTGCTGTTCTCCTCTTCCTTTTTTTAAGATTGCCGTTCTCCTCTTCCTTCTCTCAAGATTGCTGTTCTCCTCTTCCTTCTCTCAAGATTGCTGTTCTCCTCTTCCTTCTCTCAAGACTGCAGTTCTCCTCTTCCTTCTCTCAAGATTGCTGTTCTCCTCTTCCTTCTCTCAAGATTGCAATTCTCCACTTTCCTTCCCTCAAGACTGCCATTCTTCTCTTCCTTCCCTCAAGATTGCCATTCTTCTCTTCCTTCTCTCAAGATTGCCATTCTTCTCTTCCTTCTCTCAAGACTGCAGTTCTCCTCTTCCTTCTCTCAAGATTGCAATTCTCCACTTCCTTCTCTCAAGATTGCCATTCTCTTCCTTCTCTCAAGATTGCAATTCTCCACTTCCTTCTCTCAAGACTGCTGTTCTCCACTTCCTTCTCTCAAGATTGCTGTTCTCTTTCTTTCCCCCAGAATGCAGGAAAAGACTACGCCATGAAAATGGCCGAGGGGTATTTATTACTACTAGTATTTCTTAAAAGCATTTCACTCAGGCCTACCCTGATCAGTCTATGTCTATCCCATATCCCAGACCATTACCCCTGCAAATATGGGTGAAGCTAGCCCCAAGAATCTGGCCTCCAGCTTTGGACAGACAGACAGACCCTCTCTTATGGGTATAGGTATTACAGATTGCAATATGGTCTGACAGTTTCAAGATACAGGGTACAGTACTCTTGTCGCCCCAAGGAATGCATGCTGAACTCCCATAACCCCTCCTCCTATGGGTGATTCCTAATGCCTGGATTCAATCTGGTCATGGTATATTTGTGTTTTCTATAGAAAATCAATGTCCACTCTGTAATATGGTGACCAGAATTATATATTTATGCATACCTGTGCAGTTAAAAATAAAATTAATATGTGCCCCCTTTCATTATTGCTCGAAACGCTGTGCGTATTAGTGGCTTTAGGTATTGTATATACTAGCTCTATTTATAAATCCAACATTGTTTGTAATTCTTCATCTATGTATGTACATTTCCTGAATAAAATTTTTAATTTAATTCGTCCTCTCTCCCTTGATCGGTACTGTCTGTGCTTTACTTTATTTCTCACTATACAGCCAATGCCTCTTATAACTTCAGTCTTTTCTGTACATTCTATTCCTTACATCTTCAGTCTTTACATTACAGGTACTGTATATTTTATGCCTCTAACAGGCTAATTCCTAACTTGTTGAATTCTCCTCATTCCACACTCGGGCATCAGGATGATCAATTCACACCCAACTTTCACATTCAATCATAAAACAAATTTAGCTGTGCACTCAAACATCTTTGATTATGTTTTTAATTAACACCCTTACCCCTCATTGCATTTTTTAATGATATTGGCATCTGTTCCAATCATGACTCATTTCTTTGCAATTCTTCATTCATATTTGCTGAAATTATTCCCTAGATATTTTAAATACAGTACAGGTATTGGAATTTTATGCAACCGTATCTCATAAACCTTTAATCAAATATCATCACCCATATCTCACATATGGAAAGGAAAATGTGACGAGATAAGGAACTTCCTAATGAAAATACCAAGGGAAGCAGAACTCAGAGACAGGACTGTACAAGATACGATGGACTACGTCACCCAAAAGTGCCAGGAAGCTACAGACAGGTTTATCCAGGCCCAGAAGTGCCAGGAAGCTGCAGACAGGTTTATCCAGGCCCAGAAGTGTCAGAAAGCTACAGACAGGTTTATCCACACCCAGAAGTGCCAGGAAGCTGCAGACAGGTTTATCCAGGCCCAGAAGTGCCAGGAAGCTGTAGACAGGTTTATCCACACCCAGAAGTGCCAGGAAGCTGCAGACAGGTTTATCCAGGCCCAGAAGTGCCAGGAAGCTGCAGACAGGTTTATCCACACCCAGAAGTGCCAGGAAGCTGCAGACAGGTTTATCCAGGCCCAAAAGTTGAAAAACGAAAAGCAGCGGAAGAATCCATGATTCAATCAGGAATGTAAGGTAGCGAAGCAATTGAGTACAAGAACATGGAGAAACTACAGAAATAACAGAACATCAGAGGGCCAGAAATGAGTACCTCAGAGCAAGGAGAGAAGCAGAGATAGTATGAAAATGACATGGCAAGTGAAGCCAAGACCCAAACCAAAACTGCTTCACAGCCACATCAGGAAGAAAACAGCAGTGAAGGAACAAGTGATGAAACCGAGAAAAAGGGAGAACAGATACACAGAAAATGACAAGGTGTGTGAAGAACTCAGGAGACTCCAGGAGGTATTCACAATAGAGCAAGGAGAAGCCCCTGTACCAAGAAAGGAGGCAGTAAACCAAGCAACCTTGGAGGAATTTGAGCTCACCAGTGATGAGGTCAAAAGGAGTCTAATGGAGCTGAAGCAAAAGCTGTTGGACCTGACAGAATCTTACCATGGATACTAACAGAGGGTGCAGAAGCACCAATTGTGCCACTCTCTGTGGTGTATAACAGGTCACTGAAAACAGGAGACCTCCCAGAAAGCTGGAAGACGGCTAATGTAGTCCTAATATACAAGAAGGGTAACAGGCAAGAGGGATTGAACTACAGGCCAGTTTCCCTAACTTGTATACCATGCAAGGTGATGGAGAAGATCATGAGGAAAAGGCTAGTAGAACATCTAGAGAGACGGAGCTTCATAACACACCACCAGCATGGGTTCAGGGATGGTAAATCATGCCTCATAGGCTTAATAGAATTCTATGACCAGGCGACAAAAATTAGGTAAGAAAGAGAAGGGGTGGGCAGACTGCATTTTCTTGGACTGTCAGAAAGCTTTTGACACAGTACCCCATAAAATGCTGTTACAAAAGTTGGATAAACAGGCAGGAATGAGTAAAAGGTAAGGTGCTCCAGTGGATATGGGAGTATCTAAGCAACAGGAAACAGTGAGTAATTGTGAGGGAGGAGGCATCAGAATGGTGAGATGTCGCCAGCAGAGTCCCATAGGGCTCTGTACTTGGACCCATCCTGTTTTTTCTATATTTCTGATATATGAAAAGGATCTTCCAGAGGGTATGGACTCATTCCACTCAATGATTGCTGATAATGCCAAAGTTATGAGAAGAATCAAGACAGATGAAGATAGAGACTACAGGACAACTTGGACAAACTTAAAGAATGGTCTAGAAAATGGCTACTAAAGCTTAACTCGGGAAACTGTTAAGTAATGAAATTAGGTGACGGGAGCAGGAGGCCGAACACAGGGTACCACATCTGGGAGGTGAAATCCTTCAAGAGTCAAATAGAGAGAAAGATCTAGGGGTTGATATCACACCAAACCTGTTCCCAGAAGCCCACATCAAAAGGATATCATCAGTGGCATATGCTAGATCAGTCGCCAAACGAACTGCTTTTGGAAACTTGTGGAATGAATCATTCAGAACTTTGTATACCACTTATGTGAGCCAAATCTTAGAGTATGCAGCTCCAGCCTGGAGTCCATACCTAGTTACCTGGGTGTTAGTCAGCTGTCACGGGCTGCTTCCTGGGGGTGGAGGCCTGGTAGAGGACCGGGCCGCGGGGACACTAAAGCCCCGAAATCATCTCAAGATCTCAAGATAGTTAAACACAAGACAAAGTTAGAGATGATTCTGAGGTATGCCACCAGACTAGTCCCTGAACCAAGAGGTATGAGTTACGAGGAAATGCCAAGGGAGCTAAACCTCATGTCCCTGGAAGATAAGAGTAAAGGGAGATGATCACCACCTACAAAATTCTCAGAGGAATTGACAGGGTGGACAAAGATAAACTATATAGCACAGGTGGAACACGAACAAGGGAACACAGGTGGAAACTTAGTACCCATATGAGCCACAGACACATTAGAAAGAATTTTTTCAGTGTCAGGGAAATTAACAAATGAAATGCATTAAGTAATGATGTGGTGGAGGCCGACTCCATACACAGTTACAAATGTAGATATGATAGAGCCCAATAGGCTTGGGAATCTGTACGCTGTTGATTGACAGTTGTTCAATCTGTTGATTGACAGTTGAGGAGTAGGACCAAAGAGCCGAAACTCAACCCTCGCAAGCACAACTAGGCAAGTACAACTAGGTGATTACATACTTTTTACCAAATATCATCACCAACTTCATCTCACACACATTATGAGCTATTTCACAATTACCCATTTATGGCATTTTATCAATCAGAATATAATGGCTACAAGTATCAGTATTTAAAAGCATTTCTAGATTTAATTCCCTTACAGTTCTGATTTCACTCTACCTAGAGCTCCATACACAAGTACATAAAAGCAATTTGAATATGCAAAGAAATAGAGCAAAGCCTCTAACTGAGACTTCAAGCAGGTTCCTGTTTGGATTTGTCAATTCAAAAAAACTTATCACAAAAATGCTTTTTACTGTTCTAGCCCAATTCTTATTACTCACTACAAGCCCATAAATATATGTCACAGAAATGCTTATGAACCACTGAAAAACCTTTTTCCTAATTAATATTGCTTAATGCATTATACCACTACCGGGTAGCTTTTCATATGTACTGTATTTATGTATGTATGTACGTACATACGTAAGTACGATGTATGTATGTATATGTATGGTGTGCATGTACACACCACACCATACATATTATATATTATATTATATGTATGGTGTTTAACAATAGAACAATTTTTCTTCTACAGTATTTACAGACTGTATACAGGAAAACAATTTATATATATTCCTTGTTGCTTTTGTATCTCCTATTGAAATGACTAATCAACTTTTGTATTCACATGTAACATTGTAATATAGTAATCAATTAGGATCCTTGCTACCTGAAACTCTGTGTCAATGCGAAGATATTCGGACTGAAGGAGGTTGATTAGGACATCTCGTGGAGTTTCAAGGAACTCCTCCTCCATTACTACGTCGGAGAAGCTGGAGAAGATAAAGTCACGAGAAGTTTCTAGAAGTTCAACTAAGTGATGAGCCTCAGCAAACCTGCAATAAAAAAATACCAGTGTTGATTAAAATGAAATGCCTCTTTCAGGTAGAGCCCCAGTGGCTCTCTAAAGCTGAGAATACTTCCCACTACGGGTCACATCAGTCATACGAGGCCCGTTTGGCCTACTGGAGACCGGAGCCAGAACTTGGCCCCCTTCAAATAGGGAGATGGGAATTGTTACAATCACCCACATTAGGAAAGCATCCAGAAAATCAGACAAGCAAAACAGACAACTTCAAGGTTTATAGAAAACAGACCATCAAACCCACTAAAGCAAATAACTCACAAGGAAACCCAGAGCTCCCAGCCATCAGCTAGCTCCCAGTCAGTCCAGAGCCGATTATCTATGAACCAACAAACCTCATAGAAAATGAGTGAGTTGGAGTCACCGGGGCTCTACCTGAAAGAGGAGTTTTATTGCATTCAACACTGGTTTTTTAGGAGGGGGGGTTTACCAAGTCAAAGTACGTAAGTAATTATCAATAGAAGGCACCAAATCAGGAAGGCTATGTAGCACCATCAAATGTGCGGGATAATCAGAGGGCGCTAAATATCACCAAGGATGCCAATACGAGAACAAAAACGCATAAGGCGAACGATATCAAAAGTATCTGAGTCACCAAGAATTCTATTGAGGGACAAGCGACCGCGGGGGACGGTCGGAAAACAAGACACACGCTCGTCCTGGAAGTCGGGACATTCAACAAGGATATGCATGACCGTAAGAGGGACAATGCAATTTGGACAATAAGGAGCAGGGCGGCGCTCCATAAAGTGACCATGAGTTAAACAGATATGGCCAATACATAACCTAGCCAGAGCCGTTTCCCACCGCCGGTTACGGTGGCAGGAGGAAGGCCACTGGGACACATGACTCTTAAGAGTACGCAGTTTGTTACCAATAACAGAAGACCAACAACCCTGCCAGCGGGCAAGGATGGAGGCATGAATAACTGGGTAAAAGTCGGAATAAGGAATACCTTTACGGGATCTAGGACAAGTGCGGATAGCGTCCTTAGCGGCAGCATTCGCACGCTCATTTAAAGACACACCAACATGGCTGGGAACCCAGCAAAACGCAACCGACTTAAATTTACTGGAGATAAGAAACAGCCAATGTTGAATCTCGATGACCACCGGGTGGACCGGATTAAAGGACCCTAAAGCCATGAGGGCACTACGAGAGTCAACTACCACCATGAAGGAGGATTGACACCGGGAAAGCAGGAGACGAAGAGCATAGAGAATAGCATAAAGTAAAGTTCTGCTGTAAAGATGCTAGCCTCTGGAGGAAGGTGACACATATAAGTGTGGTCAGGAAAAACAACAGAGTAGCCCACACCGTCAGCAGACTTCGACCCGTCGGTGAAGATGGGAACGGAGTGGGAGTGAGAAGAAAAGTGCTCAAGGAAGAGGCGTTTCAGAACTGTAGGAGGGATAAAAGCTTTAGTGATGCGGGTCAGAGAAGTACAAAATTTGGGAAGGGGGACCTTCCACGGGGGCAAGGATGGAACAATACGAGGAGAAACATTAGTAATACGAACCAAAAGAGAATCTTGTAAGCGAGACAAACGGACAGAAAGAGGAAGGTGGTGAAGAAGAACAGGAGCTACAGGAGGGGTAAAAGTCAATGCACGATAGAGGTGAGAGTGAGGATGCTGTAAGGATCGCGCAAGATAGCAAAGACTGTAACGATCACGGCGGTCCTGGAGAGACAGAAAGCCAGTGTCAGTGTACAAGCTGAGGGTAGGAGTTGAACGAAAAGCACCAGAGCTGAGGCGGTTTAATATTTAATATTAGTTTTCACATAATTCAAATATATTTTCACCCAGCCCCAGCTTATACCCCCATTTACAGCCCAGGCTGTAGCAGTGTAAGGGTTAATGAATTTGACTGGAAAGACATCATTGGGAAAGGAAGTAAATGAGATGTATGGAAAGTTTTGAGAGATATAGATGAAGGTACAAAATCATTAACCACTGTGCTGCGCCGAGAAATCTCGTTCCGAGAATTGTACTATTTTTTTTTTAGTTAGGCTATATTTTATATATAAAATCCAAGGCTATATTTTAATATTTTTTATTGTTTTCCTCAATCTTTGTTTTGAAATGAAAATAGTCAAGTTTGGAAACATTTTGACATTAACTTTACCTGTAAATTTATAACAAAAATATGTCCTTAACAATTGCACTATAAAGTTTTTGCCAAAAACAGGTACACACTGCAGGGGTTAAGCCAAACCAGAGATGTGGAACTAGAAAACAGGATTGGTTCAACAGAAATTGTGAGAAGACCAGAAAACAATGGACAAAAAGAGTGGAAGCAAAACACAAAGAGCCCAACCCCTCAATACAAAGAAGCAAGAAACAACTACACAGCAGTGAGAAGAGTGGCAAAAAGAAATTTTGAGAAAGGGATAGTGGGACAAATGAAAAACAGAATCAGGCCTATTCTATATATTCATTAAAAGCAAATTGTAGGTAAAGGATAAAATTCTGGCAGAAAATAGGAAACAGATTCAGGAATAATGAAAAGGAAATTCCATCATCTTTGTGTACAGAAGACTTTGCATATGTCTAGAAAAAGACAAGCATAGTCCCAATCTTCAAAAAATGGTAGCAGGGAAGACCCTCTTAATTACAGACCTGAATCGTTGACAAGTGTAGTAGTGAAAACATTAGAAAAAAATCATTAAAACAAAATGGGTAGAACACCTGGATAGAAATTATATAATAAGAGTATGGTTTTCATACAGGAAGATCCTGTATGAAAACAAATCTACATAACGTAGTTTCTATGAAAGAAACAGATTTTACAGGAAAAATATGGTTCGGCTGACAGTATTTTTCTGGACCTATAAAAAGCCTTTGACAGAGTTCCCTCTAAGAGGTTGCTCTGGAAACAATATACTTGAGGGATGACAGGGAGCTTTCTGACATGGATGAAAATTTTTCCCAGAGGCAATGTATCAGACTGGAGAAATGTTACTAGTGGAGTACCATGTTCAGTTCTTACACCAGTAACATTCATTGTCTATATAAATGAACTACCAAAAGCAATATAGCTTTATATGAACATGTTTAATGATGATGCCAAACTACTAGGAAGGCATAATGTAGTTCATTAATGTGCTATACAAGACCTAGGAATATTTAAGTTAGGTTTTTAACTTTATTATTCCAGACTATAAAGTGAATACAGTAGTTCCAAATTCTACTCCCTAATTGTCTATTACGTCAATACGTGTACGATGGTGCACATAGTTACAAAAAGTAATAGTATCCAAACAGAAGGAAGGATTGAACAGTCCTCAGCTCATTGCATCTCTGTGAGGGGGGAGGGGGGGGGCCAGGTTCTGAATCTGGTCTCCAGTGGACCAAACAGGACTCCTATGACTGACATGACCAGTAGTGGGAAGCGGTCTCACTTGCATGGGGGCCGAGATGGCTTCCAGTGGGGCTCTCACAGAAATAAATATTTGAATATTTAACAAAATGAATAAACAATTTATATTACAGATAATATTGATGAGTAACAACAATATTCAACCAAGATATATAAATATATATACAATATATATGAACAAAACCAAAGCGCACACACCTGTAAATTCCTATAGCATTAGATGGATGGAGTTCCTTCTTCAAAAAGTTTGTACCCACATGTACAACATGGTGAATTTCTAGCATATCTGCAGCAACCATCAGCTCCTGAGCATTTTCCACTGTTACTTCAATATCTCCTAAAATGGCAATACAAATACAGACTTACAAATGACTCTGTGGGTACATTATTACACACAATACAAAACATTAATATTTGGACAAATCCACAAGGGCCGTGACGAGGATTCGAACCTGCGTCCGGGAGCATCCCAGACGCTGCCTTAATCGACTGAGCTACGACAGGGTTAAAAAGAGTTGAAACCGAAGTTCTACTGAACTTACTGGATCCTGTAGCTTCTCCGAGGCAACTATTAATATTTGGGATTGTGTGCTCTGTGTGTATTAATATTTGGGATTTGAATAGTGTAAAGTAAAATATTATAGTAAAGTATTATATGTATGATATGCCATTTCTGGGTAAAACCTCCTTATCCCCTCAGCTTACACAAAAAGAATGTGTAGAAAGCACTGGCAATGCCAGGCTTCCAGTTAAAATCTCATCACTGGGGTTCACAAAGTACTGAACCTATGATTTTAGAATAGAGACCCCAGATATGGCACAACTACTCAAGTGTCCCACATCTGTGTCGAGAGCAGGGAACTCCAGGAATCCAAAATACAGCATATTAGCAGTAGATATGAATGAGAAATAAATCACAATGTCATGAAGTGCCTTTACCTGGTGTATCCCCAAGTAGCTCTTCCTAGATTATACACTGGCTAACTAAGCCTCATACCCCTACACCAGACCTGAGACCCATCCATCGACTACCAGAATCCGATTTGATATAAGAAAACAAATAGAATCAAAGAAAGAGGTCGCTGAATGCTGAAAATTATATAGGGGCAAAACAACATTCCCAAGGCATGACTAGATCAGTGCTTACCTTCAGAGAACTACTGAGCACTATCCTCCCAGAAAAAAAAGAAAAGATCATAACCAAAGAACTTCTCAATCCAAATAAAGGAATGCAGACAGACAGGAATGATGAACCCTGGGCCTAATGAAGCATGCCTCAATTAAAAGACAGGCTGAAGACAAGATGACCAGCAAAAAGACAAATTTTCAGCCAGAAACAAAGGCAGCTTTTGAAGCTTGATCTTGGTATTCAACTGATCTTAGATCCCCACGAGCTCAATCTCAAGGAGAGGGCAAAGAAAGATGGTGGTCATCCCCCCAACATTACGAGAATGTCACTGGAGGCCTTGTGTTGTCAATGTCCCACATTTTCCTGTGATGCAATATGAGGGGATTTATAAGACTAATATTAACATTATATGTGATAAGGATGTCACAGGTTACTAAGAGCCAATTGTCCAAAGCTAACAGCATGAAACAGAAAACTTATCTCTCAAACAGGATGAACTATTTATAGATAAATAACTAAGAGATACAATACCTAAAATAAAATTCCAAATACCCAGTACTATTCTACATTTGAAAATTAAATACAAAAATACCAAAACAGTATACTGTTGTAGTACAAATTGATCGGTCTTCCTGTTGATACTACAATACTTAGTAAGTTGTAAGTAATACATGGTATATATACACAATTAGATACATATGAACCAGTCCTTTCCTCATACATATTTTGACCTACAATAAAACAAGGAAAATAATTCAGTCTTTATTTAAAAGAAAAACTTTCACTAACCAGTGTATATGAAGTTTATGAGCTGAGCCAATACATTCGGTGTTATGGACTTTATTTCTACTGAAGTTTGTGTTTCCTCAGCTAATCCACCAGTAAACATGGCTTGAAAGTATGCACTTCCAGCCGAAAGAACTGCACGGTGGGCCTGAAAGAAAATGAATTAAAGTTGCTTGCATTTAACTTATTGTATTTAAATTTAAATTTTCTTATTTCAAATTTCAGATTTGCAAATTTCAGTTGCTTATTTACCTAGTCAAAGTTTGTTTTCATTAAATTAATTCAATTATATGAGCTGACATTCTGAATTCAACACTATTGTTCTATTAACTATAACTACTAATGACAAAACTCTCACCTTCACAACAAATCCTTGAGCTGATATTTCAACATCACAAAAATGTTGTGAATGCCATAGTGTACAAAGGTTCTGTAGAAGCTTGTTAGCATAAGACTTGCAGGCATAGCGGTGTGTGTCGTTACTCAGAGAGGATGGGGCACCCTGGGTGGGGGGTAAGAGCCCCACACACGCCGCCATCCTCATGCACCCTTTTAGCCCTGAAAAACATTGAAAAAGCTCTGTGAGCAATTAAATAACACATCAAGTATTTAAGCAAATTATAAGCCCATTCACTCAATTAACAAATGTTCCCAACAGGCATTAAGTGTCATTAACACTATCGCTCGCTTTGGACACCGATCACGTCTACTTTTTTTCTCTCTAGTCCTAGCCGTGGACAGGACTTTTGTCCACTCCAAAAATATTTGTAAAAGACAATTTTTTATCCGATCGACCTCGGGATACTTTCAAAATAAGCACTTTTAGACTGCGCACAATTTGATACCAAAATGAAAGATGTAACATGAAACTTGATGTCCAAACACTTGAAAGATTATAAATACGTTTTTGGTCAAAATTTTAAAATATTTGTTAAAATTCTATTTATTGTGCTATTATGTTGGGACTAGTTTTAAAATGTGCGCCTTTACGTTGCGAACAATTTGATGGTTCGCAACATTAAGCATGGAGGAGGCAAAAACAGTGTGTCACCCTGAGACAAGAGGACAGAGTAACCTTCAAACTCGCACAAAACGAGGTAGGACTCTGAGGTCTCCTCCATCGGACCACTGAGCCCCAATGGGAGTTTCCAGGGCCCTTAGGCTGACTGCTAAGGGAAGTCCAGGCAGGGTACTACTAACCAGTTATCCCAGAACTACCAAACAAACAAAATGCTGAACCCCTGCGACGTGTGCAATCATGGGGACCTAGTGGAGGGCCACCCAAATAACACAAGGGGTCGTACAGCCACACCAGGCAAAACAAAACAAAAAAGAAACACCCCACAAAACCACGTCTCTAGGAGGAACAAAACCAGCCGCTATGCAAATTATAAGGCAGCTGCACAGTACCTTGTGCACCTATCAGCGACGTTACTACCTTCTACCCAAGGTCAAACAGTGGCAAGAAAACCCCGGCTGAACCCAAGGGTGGGCAATCACCAATCAGCAAAAGAACCCTGCAGAGGCAGTCCCAGAACAGTTTGTGGAAGACAACCCCAAACTGCAAGGGCAGTACATACAGGGCACCTAGGGAAGGTGACCCTAGGCACATGAACCACCCAATACTTCTGGAATTACACCTGGCTCGCACACCACCACACCAGAGCACAAGACCACAAGGCACAGCACTGCTCAAGGATTGGAGCCAGGGTCGATCGACCGACACCCAACACAACAACCTCAGAACTGGAGTTGGGTAGCCGGTGAGGAAGGTCTGGGGGCTCCCCCCTTCCCCCTCCTGGGGAGGGTGGAACTGTGCAGACAGCAGTGCAACAGCTGTGATGACGTCATGCTTGTTTGCTTGTTTTCTGATTGGGGGTTCAGCCTGCTCGTTCGGCTTTCGGTTTGCAATTTTTAACCAGCTGTAGTTTGTTTTGGGATTCCTACCTTTCTGGGTGCCTGACCTGGTAGATGGCAGACAGACTGCTTACACAACATGTGTTTATGCAACCCGTTCTCACAAATTCGTAAAGTCAATATTGACTTATTAACTACGTGCATAGGTGATATACTAAACATAATAGATACCCTTAAAAAGATTCATAGAAAACACCAACCTTACCTAACCTTGTTAGTATCTTAAGATAAGCATCTTATTGCTTCGTAATTACAATTATTACTTAACCTATACCTATTATAGGTTAGGTAATAATTGTAATTACGAAGCAATAAGATGCTTATCTTAACATACTAAGTAGGTTAGGTAAGGTCGGTGTTTTCTATGAATCTTTTTAAGGGTATCTATTATGTTAAGTATGTCACCTATGCACATATTTAATAAGTCAATATTGACTTATTAAATTTGCGAGAACGGGTTGGTTTATGGGCCATTGCTCCTCGTGCCTCTCTGAGGGGGGGCGAGGTTCTGGCTCGTGGTCCCCGGTAGACTAAGAACTCCATCGATTGACTGTTGCCACGGTCTTATATACACATCAGCCCGGTATAGCTCCAGTGAGCCAAAGGGACTCTCCACAGAAAACTATGAGCATGTCTTTTCACATATTTGACAAATACCCAGTACAGTATATAAAGACACAGTACGTGGCATTCATTACCATTAAGGATGACCCTTTGCTTTCTTTGTTTTAACCATTTGTTTTATCCATTTTAGTATTCTATAATTTATTCCATGTGCTTATAATTTCCTTGCCAGTCTCATGTTGAACATTATCAAAAACTTTTGCAAGGTGCACATATACTACCTCCACTGGAAGTCTTATCTGAATAGCTGGTCATCATTTCCAAAAATGTGACCAGGTTTGTAAGGCAGGATTTATTTTTAACAAAACCATGTTACATTGAGCTACTGTATCTTATTAGATTATTCACAGATGGTTATTGATTCCCCCCTCTAAGGATTCTTTCTACGAGCTTGCTAGATTTTACTAGTGTGTTCACAGTAAAATGATGGATGATTACCTTCCTTAGAATTCTCTCCACGACCTTGACAAGGTCAAGGTCGTGGAGAGAATATCAGCAGTTTATCAAGCAGTTAATATTCTCAGCAGTATCATATCAGCAGTTTGACCTTGCTGATATGCAAGGTCAAACTGAACACATGGTAATTTTCTGCTGAGCTCCTGCTGCCTTTTTTTTTTTTAAATAGGTGTAATATTTATATATTTCTAGTCTAGCTAGGGGAACTATACCTTAGTCTAGAGATTTCTGAAAAGAAATTTCAATGGTACACATAGTTTAACAGCTAGTTCCTTAATAACGTTGGATTGAATTCCGTCCACACCTAGAGAGTCTGAATCTTTTAGTTTATCGATGCTCTTCCTGATTATATTGCATGTTATGGGGGATACCCATTAATTCATTCTCTTCACCTGCTTCAAACATCTGTGTAGGTATTGGAAGGAATGTTGTCTAAACTCTTTAGCATGAACACTGATATAGAGTATATATTCATTCAATGTATTGGATGCCTTTTTAGCATCAATTATAACTTGGTTGGTCACATCCTTTAGGGATCCTACAAAGTCCTTTGTTTTGGTTTTACTGCTTATATAGACACAGAACAACTTTGGATCTTCTTTTATGCAGGCTAACCCTTTTCATATACAACTAGTCAAAAAATAATGGTTGACATTATGCTTCTACACAAATGCATTCGTGTAGAAGCAATTCAAACTGACTTTGTTCCGAGAGGGCTGGGGGACTGCTCCAGAATTTTGCACACTATTTTTCCATGTACAAGGTTAGTTCTGCCCGGTTGGGTGAAGGACTATGTCCTCTCCTCCATCCACATTCACAATCACTGGCCTTCTCCTTAGCTTCGAGTCATTGTACTGGGCTACATTTCTTAGCTTTTTTAGTTTATACATTTATAAGTTTGTCTCTTAGTACTTTGACATTGTTTTGCTGTTCTACTGTAAAGTCTGGAGAGATGTAAACTTTGTTATACCCTCCTAGATCTTTTAGTTCATATGCATTTCTGAGTATCCTTCTACTACATTCAAAATTTGCAATGGTTATGCATACCAGATTTGTCTCAGGCTAATCCACCCTCCCTATCTGGGAAATGGTGAAATCCTCCTCCTTGCCTATCAATTTTTCTATCTTTGCTTAAATGATTTCCTGATCATTCTTATCTTCTTGTTTTGCAAGTTCCTTATAATGAGATTATTTTTTTATTTTTTTCCTATTCAAAGCCTTGTACACACTAAAGCAACTTTGTCCCTATCCTCAACTCTGCTTGAATTCAGTGTTCTCCCAGAGTATCTGATTACCCTCCAGGTTCTCCTGGTTGACCACGGGAATCATGCTTAGATGATTTCTATTCGGTGACTGCTGAAAGTCCATAAACTGTTTCCATAACTTTCTGCCCCTCCTGTAGTGCCTTTATTACCTTCTGACCTCCCCCCCCCCCCCCACGTAGTTCTTTTATTATATCACCAGTACTCTTCCTTTTGTTCTCATTTTTCTCATTTGTATTTTCAACGGCAGTGCTTTGGTCATTGCTTAGGGCCTTGCCATGATAGTCACAGGTTAAGCAGCAAAAATTAAGGTGTTTGCCTTCAGTTTGCTCATTTATTCCGAGATAAGTATCAATGTAGAAGAGAAAACAGATGCTTTTCATCCTTACAGGGTTATAAACCCATGGAACTGCCCAATCCCTAAAGCTTTAAATGTCAAAATATTACTGCAGTTGAAAATAGAGTTGGAAAAAAATTTCAGGAAAAATGGGGGGCCTCTTGACAGCTGCCAGCTTTCTGTCCCAGTCGAGGCCAGTAGATAGATTAACACTCGGGTAAATCGATTCAGTCGAAAGGCCAATTACACAAACTATTATCAATAAATTTAACATGTACCAACAGTCTTAGATTGCAACAACTTAAAGAGTAAAATATAAGACAAAATATAACATCCTAATTTCCCCGTCATGTGATTGTCCAGCGCCTCACCAAGCCACCAGCACCTGCCCACAGCGCCTCACCAAGCCACCAGAACCTGCCCATAGCGCCTCACAAGCCACCAGCACACCTGCCCACAGCGCCTCACCAAGCCATTAGCACACCTGCCCACAGCGCCTCACCAAGCCATTAGCACACCTGCCCACAGCGCCTCACCAAGCCACCAGCACACCTGCCCAGTGCCTCACCAAGCCACCAGCACCTGCCCACAGCGCCTCACCAAGCCACCAGCACACCTGCCCACAGCACCTCACCAAGCCACCAGCACCTGCCCACAGCGCCTCACCAAGCCACCAGCACACCTGCCCACAGCGCCTCACCAAGCTACCAGCACACCTGCCCACAGCGCCTCACCAAGCCACCAGCACACCTGCCCACAGCGCCTCACCAAGCCACCAGCACACCTGCCCACAGCACCTCACCAAGCCACCAGCACACCTGCCCACAGCGCCTCACCAAGCCACCAGCACACCTGCCCACAGCGCATCACCAAGCCACCAGCGCCTCACCAAGCCACCAGCACACCTGCCCACAGCGCCTCACCAAGCCACCAGCACCTGGCCACAGCGCCTCACCAAGCCACCAGCACACCTGGCCCACAGCGCCTCACCAAGCCACCAGCACCTGCCCACAGCGCCTCACCAAGCCACCAGCACCTGCCCACAGCGCCTCACCAAGCCACCAGCACACCTGGCCACAGCGCCTCACCAAGCCACCAGCAAACCTGCCCACAGCGCCTCACCAAGCCACCAGCACACCTGCCCACAGCGCCTCACCAAGCCACCTGCACCTGGCCACAGCGCCTCACCAAGCCACCAGCACACCTGGCCCACAGCGCCTCACCAAGCCACCAGCACCTGCCCACAGCGCCTCACCAAGCCACCAGCACACCTGGCCACAGCGCCTCACCAAGCCACCAGCACCTGGCCACAGCGCCTCACCAAGCCACCAGCACACCTGCCCACAGTGCCTCACCAAGCCACCAGCACACCTGCCCACAGCGCCTCACCAAGCCACCAGCACCTCACCAAGCCACCAGCACACCTGCCCACAGCGCCTCACCAAGCCACCAGCACACCTGCCCACAGCGCCTCACCAAGCCACCAACACCTGCCCACAGCGCCTCACCAAGCCACCAGCACACCTGGCCCACAGCGCCTCACCAAGCCACCAACACCTGCCCAGAGCGCCTCACCAAGCCACCAGCACACCTGGCCCACAGCGCCTCACCAAGCCACCAGCACACCTGCCCACAGCGCCTCACCAAGCCACCAGCACACCTGGCCCACAGCGCCTCACCAAGCCACCAACACCTGCCCACAGCGCCTCACCAAGCCACCAGCACCTGGCCACAGTGCCTCACCAAGCCACCAGCACCTGACCAAGCCACCAGCACCTGACCAAGCCACCAGCACCTGCCCACAGCGCCTCACCAAGCCACCAGCACACCTGGCCCACAGCGCCTCACCAAGCCACCAGCACCTGCCCACAGCGCCTCACCAAGCCACCAGCACCTGCCCACAGCGCCTCACCAAGCCACCAGCACCTGCCCACAGCGCCTCACCAAGCCACCAGCACACCTGCCCACAGCGCCTCACCAAGCCACCAGCACACCTGCCCACAGCGCCTCACCAAGTCACCAACACCTGGCCACAGCGCCTCACCAAGCCACCAGCACCCCTGCCCACAGCGCCTCACCAAGCCACCAGCACCTGGCCACAGCGCCTCACCAAGCCACCAGCACACCTGCCCACAGCGCCTCACCAAGCCACCAGCGCCTCACCAAGCCACCAACACCTGCCCACAGCGCCTCACCAAGCCACCAGCACCTGCCCACAGCGCCTCACCAAGCCACCAGCACACCTGCCCACAGCGCCTCACCAAGCCACCAACACCTGCCCACAGCGCCTCACCAAGCCACCAACACCTGCCCACAGCGCCTCACCAAGCCACCAACACCTGCCCACAGCGCCTCACCAAGCCACCAACACCTGCCCACAGCGCCTTACCAAGCCACCAACACCTGCCCACAGCGCCTTACCAAGCCACCAACACCTGCCCACAGCGCCTCACCAAGCCACCAACACCTGCCCACAGCGCCTCACCAAGCCACCAACACCTGCCCACAGCGCCTCACCAAGCCACCAGCACCTCCCCACAGCGCCTCACCAAGCCACCAGCGCCTCACCAAGCCACCAGAATATAACAAGAGTTGTAATAGAGAAGTGTGAGGGAGGAGCGCCCCTCCTCCCTGCCACTGTGTCAACACCTTGGCATTATTGTCCTCTACTTACGCTCCACCTGAATGTTTAGGTCTTTATCAGCTAGCAAAGTGATGACCTGTCTTCCCAGCCCTTTCTTGAGTGATCACTCCCGCCAACTTTAGCCTCAAGATGTTGGGCCTTCAACAAACACACAGCAGACGATTATGACGGAAAGAAAAGCTGTCACCTCCCAGTTTCACCAAACTCAATTCTTTGCCTAAATACACTACTGCCAACATTGAAGTAACTTAATAAAGATTATTTAAGCAAATTCCTTGTTTTCTTAGCTTATGTGATACCTCCAATTCGGCGCAATTTCTCAATATCAAATTGTTAAATTTGTAAAAGATGTCTGTTTAAGGCGCCATGTTTAAAGTTGGGTAATGTCCTATTCGAGTAGGAATTTTAGGTGTCAGCGCTGTTATGAAGCAAAACATAAATGACTTTTCGTAAAGACGTGGCACAGAGTAAGAGAGGGATTTATATATATAGCTCTGACAGTGACTGCATTAGTTACACACGCATTACCGAAAGTTACATAATAGCTCCAAAATCCCATTAGGAGATCCCATTCCCATGGCTTCAGCATTGATCGATCAGCAAAATAGCTCATGTTTGACATCTTCATTAGCTGCAAGAATACTGTCATTCAACTATTCTCAATCCTTACCATCTAGAATCCCGGAATGAATTCCCAGACGGAACAGAATTGGTTGGGCACGTTTCCTTTCATCTAATATGTCTGTTCATCTAGATTACGCCTGATTTATCTGAGGGCCACTAACACTAGTGGCCTCGACGAGGACAGGACGCTGGTGGCTTGTTGAAGGTACCCCCATTTGCCTTGATGATCCTCTCCAGGTGGATTTTAAAGCCTAACAGAGTTTTGGCGTTTGCGGCTTCGGCAGGTAGGCTGTTCCATGGGTTTATAACCACTCCTGTTCTCAGTCCTACATTGAGACTGTTTGACACTGTTAACCACAACAACCTTTTTCTTAAAATGCAACACTACAGTCAGAGGTAATTCCCTCCAGTACCTGCAATCTTACCATAGTGACAGGCTCTGTGAATACCTTAGTATGTCTCTGTGAATGACGCTTCTTTTCCCACCCACGAAGTGGTATACTTGGTCTTCAAACAGCACTCGAGCCCCTTACTTAAATCTTTGAATATATTATATATTAAGTCACTATATATTCTCTCAAGTGTACTCTATATATATAAAACACCGAACTACAGTGCTAATCCCGATCTTAAACGCTTCCTAAAGGGCTGTAACAGAACCCATGCTCTGCAAATCAAGGGTCCCAAAATGTGGAATGACCTTCTTAATCACATCAAAGACTGTCCTTCTCTCAACCAGTTTAAAGGATAAACTAAGAACTACCTGATCCATGTTAGCTACATTACTTCTTAGAGGTTAACCTATGTTTTCCTGTTATTGAACATTAATTACTGAGCCTGTACTGTTATTGATATTTGCCGTGTAAAACTGTAATCAAAATTTGTATCTGTGAAAATTACAAACTGTTGTTTTGATGCAATATTTTCTGTTCCAATCATCACGTAATAATTGTCATTTTATTTGTATTTCTCTACTTCAATTTATTCATGTTTCTGGTCTCATTTAGTTTCAAGTTTCCCAATTGACCATTTTTGTTCACCATTTTTTCCCACATTATGCTCGAAAGGCTCTGCCTATTAGTGGCTTCAGATACTGTACTTGCCTTACCTAGGCAAGGTCTCTAACTTCCTAGCCTAAGCATCACAGCCTTTGAGCATTCAACTTTCAGGCGAGCGACATGGGGTGACCAAGACAAACAGGCGTCAAATATCACCCCCAAAGAATTTAGCAGTATTCCTATACACAAAGGATTTCCATAGAGCAGCATTCAAAGGCTCCGCGAGAGGTTACTACTGTTTCGCGAGATAGTGATAAATAGGCTACTACTAACCATATACAAATGCTTTGAAGAAGAAGAATGGTTGCAGAAACGAGCCTACTTAGCAGACATATGTGAGCTGACATTTTCTTCACATGAATCAGTTGAACAAGTTACTGCAAGGTCCTTGAAAAAATTTATTGACTTCAGGTAACAAGCATCTTGGAGATAAAAGAAGACTGAATCTTTTAAAAAAATCATGTTGCAAAAGGAAATCTTGAAATGTTTCAACTACTGCTCGGGCTAGTGAAGAAGGATATCAGTAAATTTCAAGTCTTACTGAAACCTATGTGGAAGAAATGTTGATCATAACACTCTAACATTATTTTCCCTCTATTTCAACAGAAGTATATGATTAGGTGAGAGATCCTTACTTTGAACCTTCTGACGAGTAAGAGCTTTGAGAGCTGCAGTCTGATGAGATTAATAAAATTAAGCTAAGCAGCTTACATATGTAGTGAAATAGTGTCATGACTAATATGTTTATCCTGCACAACATCCCTCCTACTACCCATTAAGTGGTTCAGGACCAACCAACTTGTGGCTGGTCACGAACCCATTATTGATGTAATATACAATAACTTTTGTAACTAGCTCATCAAGACTGTAACTTGTTTAGCTACACGAATGGAGTACTTTTCACTTCTTCTCTGTAAGAAGTGTTTTATAATTAATACACACATTTATTTCTCCTAAATAAGACAATTTGTGTTTACTGTTATTGTGAATATTAAATACTCAATCTGTACTGCTAGTATAGTTACTTAAACCAGACATGACAGGGCTGATATCATCGAAACTTTAAAAAAAATGAATAAGTTGAAGGGTATTATTTCGGATCACTTTTTAAAAGGTCAGATGTAAGATATATGCAAGGAGCAACAGCTTCAAGCTCAACAAACCACAATGCAGAACAAAAAACAGGATATGCTCTTTCACTAATAGGGTTATATATAACCCTATTAGTTATCCCTAATAGGGTTATATATAACCCTAATAGCCCTTAGGGTTATATAGCCTAATAACCCTTAGGGTTATATATAACCCTAAGGGTTATATATAACCCTAATAGGGTTATATATAACCCTATTAGTTAGACTCAGACACATATTAACACATATCTCTCAGGCAGCTATCCAAACTCTCTTCTCCTTTCACCAATCAGCCCGGCAGATGTTGTGTCCATCATACACTCTCTAAAAACCAAGGCAGGGAACACCAGTGAAATTCCGTCCATTGTGTACAAGAGAGCCTCCCATGCCCTTGCCCCACCCATAGCACTACTGTTCAACAAATCTATAGAGTGTCACACCTTCCCTGATATCCTCAAAAAAGCAAGAGTAACGCCAGTCCATAAAGGAGGCAATCCGGCGGACATAAACAATTATAGACCAATATCAAATCTACCCATTCTATCAAAAATATTTGAAAAAATTATTTACAAACAGCTCTATTCCTACCTCGTAAAATTCGACATACTCAGCCCCTGCCAGTTTGGCTTCCGGTCCCAAAAGAGTACCAATGATGCAATCATTAGTCTCCTTGACATTATCTACTCAGCCCTTGACAAAAATGAGTTTCCGATTGGACTCTTCATTGACCTAAGAAAAGCCTTTGATACTGTTAATCACAACTACCTCTTATTTAAACTCCAGCATTATGGAATCCGAGGCCTTGCCCTTGACTACATCCGATCCTATCTTAGTGACAGACACCAATATGTAACCATCAATGATACAACTTCTTCCACTCTACCAATTACCGTTGGAGTGCCACAGGGCAGCATCTTAGGACCTCTTCTATTTCTTATATATATAAACGATCTGCCTAATGTCTCTAATATTCTCAAACCTATATTGTTTGCTGACGATACTACCCTTATCTACTCAAACCTCAACCCACATACACTAAATAATGTTGTGAATAATGAATTAAAAAAAGTCCACTTATGGATGTCAACGAACAAACTAACATTAAACATCGAAAAGACTTACTACATCTTATTTGGAAACAAATCATCAAATGCAATTCAGCTACAGATAGACAACATTAACATCAGTAATAAAAATGATGGCAAGTTTCTTGGCCTATTCCTAGACAAGAGACTCAACTTCAGCACCCACATTCAACACATAACTAAGAAAGTCTCTAAGACAGTTGGTATACTCTCCAAAATCAGATATTATGTTCCTAACTCTGCTCTCCTCTCACTATATTATGCACTAATCTACCCCTATCTTAATTATGGTATCTGTGCATGGGGGTCTACCACTGCAAACCACCTTAAGCCCATCATCACACAGCAAAAATCTGCTATCAGAATAATAACTAACTCTGCTTTCAGACAACACTCAGCTCCCTTGTTTAAATCTCTAAACTTGCTAAATATTAACTCCCTCCACACATTCTCTTGTGTCAACTACATTTACAAAACCCTGTTCTTAAATGCAAACCATGCTCTGAAACTCTCCCTGGACAGATGTAATAGGACCCATTATCACCACACCAGAAATAAATATCTCTTTGATATCCCCAGGGTCAAACTTAATCTGTGTAAACACTCTATGCAAATTAAGGGACCTAGTCTATGGAACTCACTCCCTAGTGAATTGAAAAACTGTAAAACTTTTGCCTTATTTAAAAGCAAAACCAAAAAGTACCTAACTTCATCTATTTAGTTTCCTACACTGAGCTTTAATTTGCTCTGTACCTAGTGGTACCCAATCTCCTAATTTTTATGTAATATCAAACAACCTTATCATTGTGTTCATTGCTGTCTTCTTTTATGTGCTAGCCATATGCTGTATTGTGACTACCAATTTTTGTCAACTACCATTCAAGCTGTCATTGCAATCAATCTTATATTGTTTCTGCTGTATTGTGCCTACCAATTTGTTGTCAACTACCATTTTAAGCTGTCATTGCAATCAATCATAGCTACCTATGTGCTTTAATATACTGTACCTATAATTTTCTCTCATCTTTTTTTTTTTTCATTCCATGTAATCTGTTATCATTTTTTTGTCTATAAATTTTGCAAGTATTTACCTCCTTAAAATTTTCTTAGATTAAGGACCTGCCCGAAACGCTGCGCGTGCTAGTGGCTTTACAAGACTGTAATTACCATAATTGTATCCTCACATTCCTTATGTACATTCTTGTATAAGCCCTTAAAGAGCCACCTTCCCGCTAAAGCATTAAATTCCGAAACACTACTGTAATTCAAAATCTAGGTCGAA